GGGACAGCCAGTGAACACTTGCTGCTCAGCTCCGCTCAGCAACCTCCTTTCACAAATTGCTTTCCATGGGCCCCTCTTGCAATGCACTCCGATCACCACTGCACGCTGTGCTGGCCAAGCTGCCGTTTGCCCTCGGCACTTCGCTGGCTGCTGAAATGTTTAACTTTCAAAAGGAGTTTTATACAAAGTCTTGCCACATTGTTTGAATGTGTTGGAACAGTCCAGTCTGCAGGACCATGGAGTCACTTGAACTGTTGTTCTCCGGCAGGCTGGAGCAGCTCCATAAACCTGCCATCCTGGTCTCCTTATTTTACAATTGTGGCAGGATCTCTGTGTGTGGCTGAGCTGGGCCTGTGCCGCATTGATCCAGAAGCTACATTGCTGATTATTTAACTCCGTGACCAACTGTTCTTATCTGACATTTTTCAGTTTCATCCCCTTTTATTTCCTGCCTCTCCCAGCCCAGGTGTATTTCACGTATTTGTGGTAACATGAGTGCGCTTGATGGCAAATATTATCCTTACTTCTTAATTTTATCACTAATTAAAAAAATCAATACGAATGCAACCTCTTTCTTTTCCTAACAGGATCACCCCTCGGCAAACCCTGGCATAATGTTCACAGTATCTTCCCAAAGCATTACCAATTTCTAGCTGACTTTCCTTCTCAATTTAACGTCATTTCATCAAAGTATTTTAATCCGTCAAATACACCGTCAGTTCCCCCCATGTGGAGAGAGGATTTCAACTTGGGTTTTCCCACCCCAGGAGAGTGCTTGAAGCACTAAACTGTTAGAGAGACACCACCACTGTCAGTGACTGGGACATGGGTGGCCGTGCCTAGCAGTTAGAGCAGGATCAGACCTAGTGGTTGGAGCAGGCATCAGTAGCCAGGAATCAGAGCCCAGGGTCACAGCTGGAGTCAGGAATTGGAGCCGAGGGTCAGAACCAGGTTACCTGGCGTGAGGCAAGGCTGGGTCCAAGGCAGGAGCAAGGCTTGGAATGAGCAGGAGCCATCTCAGCCGCAGGTGAACGCTCTGAGCAGCTGCTGACCTGCTGTTGTTGCTGGACTCGAGAGCTGCTCTGTTGCTTCTTCCAGCCAATCAGCCGTGGAGCCAATTAGGCAGCCTGCTACAGGCTGACTGTGCTCATTAGGTTACCCAGAGACTTGCTCTGCTGCAGGTCCTGATCCCTGAGCGCCACCTCCCCCTCCATCCATTTCGTGTGGGGTTAGGTGTGTCCTGAGAACGCTCCTGGATCAGGCCCTGCAGGCCAGACATGAGGGAATGGAACCCTCTGGGGTGTCGGCGTGAGGCAGGTTCCCTGGTGTGATGCGGCTGTGTGCCTGCTCACTGGCAGAAACGTAGGCACCTGGGGGCTATAATGGTGGAAATGTAGCTGTCGAGGGACTTTAGGCACCTACAGGGTCAGGTGGCAGCTGAGCGGTGGTGTTCTGAATGCCCAGGGTGCCCCATGCTGGACTTGGGGGGTTAAAATGGCACCTAACTCCTTTTCATGGATCTAGCCCTGAAGATGCAGTTGTACCAGACTTCACAGGGGTTACTTACAGACTCTGTTTCACATGAGGCCAGGGTGAGCGAGCCGAGCAGAGATATTGGGGCATCGTCTCTTCTCAGAACATTTCTCCTAGTTTAGAGATCAGCTCCATTCCAGTTAGTTTTGCCCAAAAAGAAACCATCTAACCTGACATATAGTGTTGGTGGAAGGGACAAGCTTTTGTTTCACCAGAATCCTGTCTGACCTGATTTGGTCGGTCTCTCTGCTGTTTGTCAGTTTAGGATGTCGTTTTGTTTTCGCTGGGCTCACCCACGTCTAGAGGTTCAGTCTTGACTGGGCCAGGTGTGTCTGGTTTTCTGTGGGCATTGTGATAGACCCAGCCCAGTTGGGAACAGCAGAGTAGCAGAAGGGAGATATACTGGCCGCTGGATAAGTAGTTTTCTGTTCCCTGAGTGACCACAGCAGGGGCTGCTCCAGGCTACTAGACCACCTGACTCCAATTAACCTGCTAAGAGTCAGGTGAGGCAGTTAAGCACCTGACTCTAATTAAGGCCCCTCTGATGCTATAAAAGGGCTCACTCCAGTCAAGCCAGGGGGAGCCAGAGGAGAGGACGTGCGTGTGAGGAACTGGGAGCAAGAGGTGTGCAAAAAGCTGAGAGTGAGTAGGCGTACTGCTGGAGGACTGAGAAGTACAAGCGTTATCAGACATCAGGAGGAAGGTCTGGTGGTGAGGACAAAGAAGATGTTGGGAGGAGGCCATGGGGAAGTAGCCCAGGGAGTTGTAGCTGTCGTGCAACTGTACCAGGAGGCACTATAGACAGCTGCAGTTCACAGGGCCCTGGGCTGGAACCCGGAGTAGAGGGCGGGCCCGGGTTCCCCCCATACCTCCCAACTCCTGATCAAACACAGGAGGAATTGACCTGGACTATAGCTTCTACCAGAGGGGAAGGTCTCTGGACTGTTTTCTGACCCACAGGGTGAATCTGTGAAGCGAGCAAATCCGCCAATAAGCGCAGGACCCACCAAGGTAGAGGAGGAACTTTGTCACAGTATGCATAGGTGGTCTTGGTGCTGTTATATGGATTTTTTAGCTTTGGGTTCAAAAGCCTTGGTCAGAATATTCTGAGCATCTTCTGCAGCGTCATCCAGAAAGCTCTGCAGCAGGTAGCGCATGGTCACAAAAGAAATTACTCCCCCTGCTAGGGAGCCAAGGACTGGTACAAAATTCAGAATAAGTTCCACCACCATCAGTGCTCCACATAGAGATCTGGAAAGTACAGTCAGTACAAACTCTTTTGTTATGGCTGAGGCCAGTGGAGACTTTTTGATAACAGATTTCAGCTCTGCAACAGGCTTGTCAACCTGCTGAGCCAGTCTAGTGAGAGACTCATCATCCAAGCCAAAGGCCATGCAGTAACGCTTCATGTGAAAAACCAAGATGGCTACATCACAGGCGAGAGAGAGGCCTGGAACAGGAACAGCACCAATAGCACATGACGATAGGGCCACTGCCCAAATATGCTCCTGCAGTTCAGCCTTTTTCTTCTCCAGGATCTTTGCTGAGATGTTGGGCATGGCCAGGATGAAAACGTGTCTCTTCTGATCATCCAGTTCATTCTCCAGGGTCTCCTGCAGGAGCTGGAAATCATAGTTGGCCAATTCCCAGCTGCAGAGCAGGAAAACCTGTGGGGAGGCCTCACCTGCTTCTCTCAGGTTCTTTATGCAGTTCTCCCTGATCTCCTGCAGGGTTCTCGCCTCATTGAAATTCTTTTTCCTTTTTTCAGCATTCAAGTCATTATCCACTTTGGAGCGCACGTAGTAAAACCTCTTCCCCATCTTGTGAATCTCGCGGGCCAGGGTGATGTGGTGGGAAGTGAAGCGCGTAGCACTGATGATGATGAAGAAGTCGTATTTTTTGAAGTTAACCTGATTAGGGTATTTGTCTGCCTGAAAGTTCTTTGTCCCAATTCCTGGAAGGTCCCATATTTTTACATTTGGGAGTCTGGGGTGTGGATAAGCCATTGGCTCCATCGTTGTTTGTGTCACCCCAGTCTTAGCAGCTCCTTCATCGTCATCATGCAGGCCCAGGATGGCATTGATGAAGGATGATTTCCCTGCACCTGACTCTCCCATGATGGTGATGTCCAGTGGGGTGTCTTCTAATGATTTCAGCTTCTCCTGAAGTTCAGCAGCTGCTGCCGTGAGGTTTCCTCTCTCAACAATGGCCTGTAGTGCTTCAATTTCTCTTCTGGAGAATCTACCAGCCATGGCAGCCTTTGGTGGTGGCTCAGTTGTTCTTATCACAGATCTTAGAAAAAGGAAAAGAAAAATTCCAGTGATTTATTTTTATC